AAATTATTAGCTGACGGATTAATGAGGGTGCGGCAATCGCACCCGCGATACTGTTCTCGCCCGCCCGAAATCTACCCGACGACAATCGATAATACGCGAGTCGCGCGCGATGGAATGCGGCAGGGCGTACGGCGCAATATAACGACGTTAATACGACGATTTTCGGTCAAAACACAAAGATTTTCTGACAATCTGCGACAGCCGTAACGCACAAATTATGCAAATGATAACGAAATAATCTCATAACGACGATTGATCTCACGAAAACGCGGACAGTTTACAAAATACGACGATGCGAAATATGACACGGTGACTGGCGACAGCGCTTCCCGGGGAAGCAGCGGTCCTGCAACAAAAGCTCGGACGAATCGCTCGGCCCCTCTGTTATTCGAGTATTTCCCGAAATCGCGAAAAAACGGAAACGTTAGTGGCGTATGAGCCACATGCGACAAACGCGAATAATCGATATTATCTGACACATAAAATCGAGGGCCCGACACAACCGAACGACAGCGAAATTGTTGGCCTTACAGAAATAATCGTTCGTCTCACCAGAACTAATTCTCCAAGATCGTCGGAAAAGGCTCGTGTCACTCGTCTCGGGATCTACGTCCTTATCGGTTGCTCGTCTGCCAAACATGAGGAGCGTGAGGTCCGTGGGAGACACGTCGGCGATCGTTTTCCTCCGAATTTTTCCTCGCCGAATCTAATTGGCGCAGGGCCGTGTCGCACCCTTCGCGGGCCGATCCTTATCACGGCCGTAATTCCGCCGTATGGGCCCCGGAAATTCTCGGCCGCAAAGAGAAATAATCTTGGCAGCAAGCGCCCCTTGCCCCGCCTGACTTCTTCGGGGTTCGGGAAATCCTCCGGTGATCTCCACAGGGTGGCTGTCGTTATACTCTCGGCCCCGAGGGCAGAGCCGGTCCGGTTCCGGTCGGGGTCTTCGCGACGCCGCTCTATATTGAGATCTCCCACGAGAATGTTGCCGTGTTGAGTGCGCATCCTCTCTAACTCTCTATGAGCCTCCTCTTCCGAGCTGCGATAATGAAAAGAAATAAATCGGGGGGGCCGGCATGTGTTCGCGGCAGCAAACAAATTTGAATTAAAATGGATTAACAAAATTGATTCACCTGACGTGCTCCATTCCAGTCGGCGGAATTCCCGCTCCCACTGTACTTCCTCTCATCCTGTCTGCCGTCCTCCTCGTGACGACCGGTTGAGACGAAACGATACCGAATCCTGAAAAGGCCAACGCAAACGCAAAACGGGCGCACAAAGGCACGTACACGAAAAGAAAACGCAAGAGAGAAATCGCAAAAGAGGACCGCTCCTCCGCCGTAGCGGAAAGACGCAGATCCCGAAAATGCTCTCTCGGTCTTTGCCCCTGTGACGGGCAACGCAAGGGCGTCACGTCACAATATATATGAGACGATGGTCGATTTTCAGGAGTTCTGATTATTTAAAGCAGTTCCCGTATAATTCTGGACATGTACAATGCGTTTGCAGAGAGAAAATTTTTTAAACATTTATTATGCCCGAAAAATGCCCATTTTCCAGAATAAAGGTGAGATGCTGATCGATTTTTCAGAGTTTTTATTATTTTAAAGTAGTTGTCATATAGTTCTGGGCATAATGCGTCTAGGTATAATGCGTTTCATAAACATTCTCATGATAAAAACAATTAGAAATTTTTTTAAATAATTACTATGCCCGAAAAATGTATATTTTCGAGCATAAGGGTGAGATCAGAATAATCAGAACTCTAAAAAATAGACTGGCGTCTCACCTTTATCTTCAAAAATATACATTTTTCGGGCATAATAACTGGTTAAAAGAATTTCTAATTGTTCTTATCATTAAAACTCTTTGGAAAGGCGTTGTACATGCCCAGAACTATATGAAAATTATTTTAAAATAATCAGGACTCTCGAAAATCGACCGGCGTCTCACACGGAGAAAACGATATGGTTACCAAATACATAATTATGATTAGATGTAACCATAAAAAATTGTAATATTTGGTACAGCAATATGTGTGGTTGTCATATCCATATTGATTTAGTCATGTTGTCTATAGTTGAGATTACTACACTGTATGCAGGGTTGGGTAATAATTAGTTGATTAATTAAAAGTTAAAAAAAAGTTAAAAAGTTAATAATTTTTAACTCAACTTAGTTATTTTAAAAAGAGTTAACTTTTAACTTTAACTAGTTATTTTTAAAACACATAAACTTAAACTTATTAACTTTCCCCCCAAGTTCAAAATTTGACCAATGACGCAATAGCGTGATAGCGTGCTTTCTAAGGCCGGGTCTACAATAGGTGTAGTAAGCCTTTAGACTTAAGCTTTAAGCTTTAAGCTTGCTTTGAGCCATAAGCTTTAGTGTGGGTCCACAACCTTGCTTTAAGTGACGAAAGCTTTAAGCCGTAATCCGTATGCTTTAAGTCGCAAGATATAACCTTAAAGACAATAGTCCACAATATTTATACGTCTAATTCCATAACGCATAATGCATAATGTTTATTTTCTCGTAGATAAGTGTGTGCTTTCCTTAACCTTATTTACATTACAAAGGAATAATGCCGCAAATAATAAAATACAACAAACGAAAACGTTTATTTATCCTTGCGTGTGTTGGAAATATATTTATATTTGAACTCTATTTATATTTAAAGCGACTAAAAAAATTCAGTGGTCGGCGTTGGTGGGTGCACCCTTTAATTCTGGAGCGTGGGCAACTGGGAGCGTATGAGACTGTTTTTTTGAGATACAAACATACAGATCATGAAAAGTTTTTTCGATTTACGCGACTCACAGTTGAACAATTTGAAGAACTTTTAACAATCATCACAGATGATATTCAAAAACATAGTTATAGAGAGTTTTTAACTCCAGAATTTCGTTTAGCCATCACACTTAGGTATGTTGTATTCCATTTGTGACTACTTTTTTTGTATTATTTTGTTTTATTATTTTGTATTATTGTTTTTCATTTTGTTATTAAATTGTATATTGGTTTGTAGTTACTTAGCATCTGGCAATAGCATTGTTAGTTTATCAAACTATTGGAAGATAGGCAAGTCTACTGCATATGAGGTGATTCGAGAGACATGTGAAGCTATATGGAAGTGTTTGAAGAGTACTTATTTAGCACCACCTTCCACGATAGAATGGAAACGCATAGCAGATGGATACTGGTCAAGATGGAATTTACCAAACTGTTGTGGAGCTTTAGATGGGAAGCATATCAGATTACAATGTCCACCAAAATGTGGCTCCCAATTCTTCAATTATAAACAATATTTTAGCTTTGTATTGATGGCACTCTGTGACAGCAAATATTGCTTTACATGGATGGAAGTAGGAAATTATGGTACGTTGTAATATAGTATAAAATAACCTTTCTTTCTTAATTTGATTGTTTCTTATTAATAACTTCAACATTTTTTTAGGATCTCTTCCAGACAGCAGTATTTTCAGTTCCTCTGCATTTGGTATAGCCATGGAGGAAGGGTCTCTTAATTTCCCAGATCCAGAACGGTTGCCTGGTAGTAATGTGTTTGTTCCCTACTTTCTTGTTGGCGATGAAGCATTCCCATTACGCACCAACTTAATGAGACCATATCCAAGAAGAAATCTCCTAAGCGAGGCACATCGAATTTTTAATTACAGGCTATCTCGTGGAAGACTCACAATCGAGAATGCCTTTGGAATTTTGACATCAAGGTATTTCCATTAACATAATAGTATTGACAATGAACTATTATATAAAGACAAGTAACTCAATCATATTTATTTTTATTTTAATTCTAATAGGTGGCGAGTTTTACGCAACACTTTGGCTCACCATCCTCATAATAGTGAAAGCATTATTCTTGCCACAGTGTGTCTTCATAACTTTATTATGAAAAGAGAAGAACACCTGCAGGGATTCAAACAATATTGCCCACCTTCATATGTGGATCACGAAGATGACAGTTATAATCTAGTACCTGGTGAATGGCGGAGAGATCCTTTCTGTAACTACCTCCAGAATATTGGTCGATTAGGAGCAAACAGAGGTGCATTAGTTGCAACTCATCAGAGAGACACAATCGCAGAATATTTTTTGAGTGAGGAAGGGAAAGTGCCTTGGCAGTGGCAAACTATTTACAGAGGTTTTGATATAAATATGCCTTAGTTTCATTTGTAATAAAAAACAGTAAATAATATTTTATCATTATTATATTATAATAATTTATACATATATGTATATATATATATATATAGTTTATTTATAATGTATATTATAATACTTGTAGACATATTTTTATACTATTATTACTATATCTACATACTAAAATAAAAATCACAGTATATGTCAACACAAAGATTACTAATAATAGATATTAATTTTTATTACGAATTAACATTTCTAGTAAAAACAATTTTGTTCATTAGCAAAATAAATACTGTACTTTTGCATAATATAATGAAAAATTTTAAAAATTAGAAAAATTAATTAATCTTCCAATATTTTAGTTAAGGATCTTTGAAATAATACTTTGAAATAAAAATCTTTGAAATAATTTAAAAGATTAATAATAATATTAATTATTGTTAAAATAAAAATTATTTCATAATTAAAAATAAAGATGTATAACATTTAAAAATAAAAACAAATAGTTCTTTGGAATGACACCTTTAGAAAGAAATCACACTTTGGCAGAAAATGAGGAAGCAGAAGCCAATCAGAACTCTCGATGAGAATAAGCTTATTAAGGAAAGTAGTAAGATTATGATAAGGTTACTACCAGTGCGAGTTCTGATTAGCTTCTACTTTTTTGTAAAGATATGAAACTTCCCTTAAAATATTGATAATATTCTCGCTAAAATAAAATTATTACATAATTAACATTTATTATAGGAACGATTTTGTTCACTAGAAAAATAAAAATGTATCCTTGTATAACATAATTAAAATTAAAAACAAATTTAGAAAAAAAAATTGACTTTTGATTTTATAATCAAGGTTCTTTGGAATGGAAACGTATTCATCGATGACTATGTTTACACGTCACCTTTAATCGGATTTTATAATATTCGTAGTTCTAAGACTGGCTAATCATAGCCATTCCTCTGAAACTCTGAAGAATGGAACGGTTATGATTGGCCAATATCTTACAATTACAGATATTATTAAACCCAATTAAGAGTGACGTGTAAATATAGTTGATGGTACAAGTTTACCTATTTTTGATATTTGCTGATAACGTTCATAACAGCCATAAAACATTCCATTTCCATTTCAGCAAAAACCTTTTCAAATGCTGCTTCTATAGCAACAACAAAAGGATGCATCTTTTTTTCTTTATTCGTTTCATTTAGAGTATCCTGTGTGAAACATGTCGCCATAGATTGGATGGCAGACGAAGACTTTGCAATCAGCAATTCTAGATTATTCTCTTTATTCTTCTTTTGTTGAGAAAAAGTATCCAATGACGGGACAGCAGTTTTATATTTCTTGGACGGAAATCCAGCATTCTTTTCATCGCTTTCATTTAATTGTTTTTTCTTATCACCATCATTGTTTGTTATGTCAATAAAAACGTCTAAATCATCCGATATAATTTTTACAGGCGAGGAACTGCATGTATTCCCTTCTGCATCGTACTCGATTGATATTTCGTCACTCACCAAATCGAGTGAAGATGGTGATGGTAATATCACACAATTTTCAGAGTTTGAAGATGAACCGCTTGGTGATGTTGACGGTCCAGAATTATGTGAGAAAGTCATGGAACCTCGAGTTCTGTCAAAAAAATTCTGGAAATTAATATTAGGGCATACTTTAATACATAGAGAAAGTTGTAAGTCATAAAAGGTTTACTGCGTAAGTGATGTTATGTCCAACTATAACAGTTTCTTAAGTTATGTATCATATACAATGGAAAAGAAATTTTTCTTTTTTTTCGACATTCTACACAGTATATCTTTTATGACTTACAACTCAGGAAAATAAAGGATCTTTTTGTACCATATGAGAATTAGAATTTTATTTACCTTCTATGTTCAATGTGAGGTATGAGAAAGGACATGGCTGGCATTAAATCCCAAGTGGTCATTTTCACTCCACCTTCGGAACCACTGGGCGGTTTACGTTTCATCTCCCGCAACTTCCTTCCTAACTGGTTTCGAAGTTGGTTCCATCTATTTTCTGCTTCTTCTCCTGAAATCAATAATTTTTCAGTATGTTAAAGGTTATAATGAACCTGATATATATTATACCATGGATATGTAAAACATTTAACTTAACCCTAACCTAAATTTAATTCACGTTACACATTTAAGACATAAATAGTCAATAATTTTTATATAAAAAAATAGAAATATAGAAAATACTTGCCAGAAGTTGCACCACAACATGTACTAATGACTTTCCATGTATCCTTTTTCACTTCAACATTCTTGAAATCTTTATGCTTTTTATTGTATAAATATGGATTGCTCTTCACAAGAGTGGCCAAAGCTTCATCATTAATATGTACAATGTCTTGAACAACATTTTCGTTTATACAATCGCTCATTTTTTCCACAAATTGTGAAACGTCGCACAAAAACACTTTCGCCCGCGATGATGTATTGGGCTCTATGCTTTTAACTTTAGCGTTAAAAAATGGATTTGACCATTTCCTTTCCGCCCTACGTGATCCGGCTTAAAACATTGTTACGCCCGGACGTGACGTCAATTACGTACTGCGCCTTAGGGCTTACAACACATTAAAGCAAGGTTGTGGACCCACACTTAATAAATGTTCTTATAACAAGACGGTCTACAATGTGCTCTATCATAAAGCATAACGACCAATGAAATAATTGCTAGTTTTTTGCAGCGAAAGTGGCAGTTTATATTTATTACTTATATATTATCAAAATGAATAATTTAATATTACCCATTTTGACATTAAGTAATTTCCAAAATGTGCTTTTGTACACCTATTTAAAGAAAAAGAATCGAAGAAGGTGGTGGATAAGATATGTTAACCAACAAAGAGCGCAACAAGGAGTATTCAATATGTTCAAAGAATTATATTTTACGGATGAAGAACAATTTTTTGAGTATACTAGAATGAATACAACACAATTTGATTTTCTGCTTTCCTTGGTTGGACCAATGCTGCAAAAGCATAGTTTAAGAAAGCCTCTCTCTGCAAGACTTCGTCTGGCTGTGACTTTAAGGTTAATATATACTCTATTAATATTAATATAATTTTAAATATTCTATTTTATGTTGTATATTTTTCATTGTTACAGCTACCTGGCATCTGGTGATAGTCCTAAGTATTTATCAAAATATTATAGAATTGGTGCATCAACTATTTATAAAATTATACAGGAGACATGTGAATGTATTTGGAAAACTCTGTCTCCTTTGTGTCTTGCAGCACCTTCAGTTGAAAAGTGGAATGAAATAGCTGAACATTTCTATACTCGTTGGAATATGCCTAACTGTGTCGGTTCTCTTGATGGAAAACATGTCCGTATTCAATGTCCTCCTCTCAGTGGTTCAGAAAACTTTAACTATAAAAAATATTTTAGTATTGTGTTAATGGCATGTTGTGATGCCAACTATTGCTTCACATGGGTGGAAATTGGTGATTATGGTAAGATCAATCCTGAAATTATATAATATTGGTTAAAGTTTTGAGATGTTTTATTTATTTTTTGTAAATTTTTGGGTTATTTTAGGCTCTCTGCCAGATAGTAGTATTTTTGCCAATTCAGGATTAGGAAAAGCCTTGGAAACAAATTCTCTAAATCTTCCTCCATCTAAAGAATTACCAAACACAAACGAGAAAATACCTCATTTCTTTGTAGGAGATGAGGCATTTCCTCTGCGAACTAATTTAATGCGTCCTTATTCAAGAAAAGGCATTAAAAGCGACAGAGAAAGAATATTTAATTATAGATTGTCTCGTGCTCGAAGAATAATAGAAAATGCCTTTGGTATTCTTTCATCAAGGTAAATATATAATATTTTTATTTGAACAATGCAATTTTTCGTAATGGAATATTTATTCTCGTTAACAGATGGAGAGTTTTTCACTCATGTATTTGCATGAAAGAGGAAAATGTGGAAAAAATAGTATTGGCTACAGTATGTCTTCATAATTTTTTAATGATGCGAGAGGACCGTGAAGTTGAAAGGAAGATTTATTGCCCTACAACTTATATTGATTATGAAAATGATGATGGATCAGTAACTCCAGGAATGTGGCGTAATGCTTCAATGGATTCAAATCTTATAGATATTGGTCGTTTAGGTTGCAATAGTGCAACAAGAAAGGCTGTAGCTCAAAGAGAGGCTTTAGCTGATTGGATAATTGGGGAAGGACAAATACCCTGGCAATCTCAAATAAATTTTTATGCCCATCATGTCAATTTTCCTCTATTGCAGTGATAAATGAAAATATTTTATTTTTTTTTACAAGCAAAATTATTGACTATTATTTCAATTATTTATTAACTATATATCATTAAGTACAAATATAAACTATGTTTATGACAAAAAACATTATTAATTTTACTTTGCTAAGTAACATATAATTTCAAATTATTACATATATCCATATTTACCCTAATATTTTTGTATTCTAGTCAATAAGCAAAGATGTACTAATAGTAAGAATTATTGAGGAATCAATTTAATAGTTGTAAGCTGAGGCAATAAGAAAATCATTTATCAGATTTTGATAATAATATGAGCTGAGGCAATAAGAAAATCATTTATCAGATTTTGAAATTTTTTTGATCAAAATAACCTCTCATGTTACATATAATGTAGTATATTTTATAATTATATCTGGTTCTTCAATAAAAATGTTTCTATTTTATAATAATGCACCTGTAAGAGTATTTTAATTAAAAAAGAAATATTGAACAAGCATTTCTATTTACTTAATACTGTTTTATTATTTACGAATGATACACTTCCATATTAGAACATATAATTTCTTAAAAAACATTTAATAACATATGTGGAAAACAAATTATGTATGAGAAAAATATGCTATTATAATTACAAACAAAAACATAAACTATATTTATGACAAAAAATGCTACCTTTGCTAAATAACATAATTAAAATTATAGAAATTATATTTGATAATTAGCAATATAATTTGAAATTATAAAATCTATATTTCAATATAAAAAAAAATATTTTACCATATCACATCCGCATTATTTTTAAAAAATTATAGAACTTTAATATCACATCAAACATCACATGAGATACTATTATATCATCACATTATTTAACATTAAAGAAATACAATGAGTATTTATTCCTTGAATTTTTCAATGAGCTGCAACACAGCTATCAGGCAGGATAATTGATTTTCTGGCATCACTGTTTTTAAAGCTTGTGAAATCACAATTGTATTTGCATCAGAAAATCCTTCTTTTTCTTTAATTTCTTTATCCTTGTATGTTGTTGCCAGATCACTAATGGCTTGTGATGATTTATTAAGCAGATCTTCCAAACGTTCATTACTAGCTTTCTTTTTTTTTGCAAAATTATCAAGAGGGGGTACCAAAATTCGCTTTGCAGATTTTGGAACCCCTTCTTGATAATTGGATTTTTTGGAAGTTTGTGGAGTGGAAATATGTGAAGTGGAGGTCTGCAAAGTGGATCCAATGTTCTCTTTTTCTGTAGTAAAAACTCCACTTGATTCAGACTGTGCTGTATCTTCTGTAGAAGTATTCAAATTCTCTAAAATCATAAAATAATTTATATCAAAGAAAAATTTAAAATTAATAACTTAAAAAAAAAATAGTCATCATATTATAGTATATCATACCAACGGTTAATGATGCATTGCAATCATCATTCCAGTCAGAAAATCTAGCAGAGTAAGTGTAAGAGGCTGGAAATTGACAATGACTTGTAATGACATCGGTAGGTGACTGAGGAATAGATGAATTTATTGAACAACTGCTAGAAGTTTCACTACATCTGGACGATGCAATTTGCAGCAATGAACCTCTTGTTCTACATACACAAAAGAGAAAACATTTATTATAAATGAATGTATTATATTTTGTAACAATAAAACCAAAAAATAAAATTGTAAATATTTTTATTATCATATTCCTTGCATTGTTTAATTGTAAATGTTTCAAATTGAAAGGAAAGTGTAATGTATTTTATATATATTTTTAGGAAAACGAAAACCTAAATAAACTTACTTTCTGTTTTGAATGTGAGGCTTAAGAAATGACATGTATGACATAAGAGGCCATTCTGATGTTTGTCCAGAACCTGATGGCTGGATTTTCTGAGCTCTCAATTTTCTACTAAATTGATTTCTTAAGCAATCCCAACGTTTCTTTGCTTCATTGGCTGTAAAATAGAAATACTGAAATGGATATTCAACAGCTTTGAAGGGAAATAAAATATGTTAACCTACTTGTGCAATTCAAAGACTCAGCAATCGATTCCCACTTCATTTCTTTCATTTTATTATCTTTATAAGATGCATCATTTTTTGCATATAAACAAGGATTTGCTTGCACAATAGCAATTAAAATTTCATCATCGATGAAATTATTATTATTATCTCCAATATCTTCAATGTCCGACATCGTGATAATAACTAAAGTAATAACTATACTTTTCTTTCATTGGCTGAAAGAAATTATATCAGTCGAAAGTTTTAAGTTTTAAGTTTTAAGAACTGGGATCTGGCCAGCTCGCTTAGAACTTAAAGATTAGAGCTTCAGGCAGCGCGGGAAACATTTTTGGCCGGAAACTACGTCACACTTTAGCGCTTAAAGCAGAAGTCTAAAGGCTTACTACACCTATTGTAGACCCGGCCTAAAGCTTTTATGTGCTTTGTGCTCTGCGCCTGCGCACATGACACCCCTTGTGTTCATGCCCCAAAGTTCTGTAGAGGCCTAGTCTATGCTTATACCGTTTTTTCATTTATTCAGTTGTCTTACTCTTTTTTACTAAAGACCGCTGTAGACATTGGGTGCTTTCCAATTGTTTAACACATCTTAACACAAACATACACAGGAAGGCACAAAGTGTAGCGATGTGCACGACTCAATTGGAACAAAGTTAATGTGCGACTTTCGAGTGGAGGGTTAGGATTCTTCATAACCATGTCCATCTTGATATTTTTTAATCCATGCTGAGGGTGATAGCATCGATATATAAAATGGATTAACATACATAGATATATATATATGCATAATATTATATAATATATAAATAATATATAAATAAAATATATAAATGCATATTATATTAATATATAAATATGAATGAAAATTTAATCAGTAATATATCTAACCTGCAAATATGCAAAAGAGACAATTTTATTTTATTTATTAAATATAATAAAAAAATTAATTGTACAAAAACTCATTAATTTGAATTACTTACTTCAATGATACTTTTAATATTTTTATTGTCCATTTTTGTATTTGTATGGTGTACTTTAATGGTTGTCTTTTAATTAAAAAAGATAAAACGAAAAGAAAATTGCCAACATAATCGCCGTCAGTCTGTAACCGCATATTTCATTTGTCCCTAGAAAACAGAAGGTTACACAAGTTGACTAGTAGCCTTCGAGCTGAGTACGGATGTGTAAAGTTGTGTCGGCAGTTACGGCAATTGGAACGCGACTTGTGTCGCCGTGTGCATAAAAGTGTCTAGGGATATCTCAATTGGAAAGCACCCATTAGGTTTGTTTGCGTCGCATGCCCCAACATACTCCTACTCACTCCAATACGCTCCAATATGTTCGCGTCACCGGAACTAATATGGCGACTAAGTGTTCGCGTCGCGATAGAACATACTCTAAGGAGCAATTAGGAGCATGCTCCATGTGCCTTATCTTTGAAGGTGATGTGCGCGCAAATGTGCGCGCATGCGTAATATATAGAATATGAATTGATGAATGGCTACAAAAGCATCAAGATCCATGTTGTCATAATACTGTAATGCGCGATTGGTTGGAAGCAAAAAAAGAGGGGAAGTGCCTCAAGTCCATTCGTGTCATCAAATTGGTGCATATGAACTCATCTGCTCTAACCGCCATCTTACCTGTGATCCAAGTGCTCTCTGGAGTACATTGGAACATGCGACACGAACAAACCTATTGTTATCGTTGTTGAAGTCACGTTGTGATACTTTGGCATTTAGCAATTCTGGAATCTAATATTAGATATTATTATTATTATTAGATATTAGATATTATTCTGTAAACGAACATTGTTTTTACTGTGTTATTGAGTTACATTTGTGCTAGATAACTTATTCATTAATCAATTGTAGGTATATCCATAAAATATAAGTAATATAAAATTAAAAATATAAGTATAAAGTACATTCAATATAACAAATATAAAAGTGGAATCTGATAAAATATGGAATCTGATGCAAGCGATAACAAAAGTAAAGTTAAGAATGAAGATGATAATGAAAATGAATCTAAAAAAGAAAATAGTTTATGGACAAATATTCAAATGTTTTATGAACAAAATAATGATCTACATATGACAAACGAAATGTATGTTTTTAATGTATACTTTGTAAACGAAAAATGAAGTTTATATCGACATCGCTTTCTTCAAATTCCAATTTAAGAACACATATTAATATACATAGGTAATATTTTTTCCTTCACTTTTTTATTTTACAACATTTTAAAAAAATCTATTAATAGGAAAGCTTTTATTTTTGCTCTTACATCTTTTATTTTTTAATATCTTTTTAAAAGTGGTAAATACTTTTTTTAATTTGTAATTATTATATTATGATTTCAGTTAATACATCTAAGTAAATTAATTGACTTTAACAAAGCTTGCAAGAATAAATGTGCTAAATTAAAGGAAAAAGAATCTAACGTTTTGATAAAAAATATAGATGTACAAAGCAAAATGAACATTTTTGGAACAGGAAATGTAACAAAAGCAACATTTGATCAAGCAGTATTAAAACTAATTGTAAATACTGCTTCACCGTACTCTTTTGTAGAAAATAGTGCTTTCATAAAATTTTGTGAATTAATCATTAAAAAAAACCATTAATTAGAAAAACGCTTGTATCAGATCTTGAAGAAACTTATAGAAAAATGCAAATACAGTTAATTAAAACTTTTAAAACATTAGAATATGTTATTGTAGTGTAACAGTAGATTTATGAACATGTTTTAAGAGGTATGTTTATATATTTTTTAAATCATAAAGCTTTTAATATTCTTAATATAAAATTTTTGTGATAAACTTTTTATTACAAATTTATAACAAATATAAAAAAGTAATATAGTATATAATTAATAGTATATAATATAATTTAATATTAATTTTTATTTTTGTAATATTTGCAAAAACTGATATATTTTCAAAAACTGATATTTTTGTTTATTTATATGTTTCATTTATTTAATACTTGTTTTATATTTGTATTCTTTTGCATTTTAAGATCTTACTTAGGAATGACAATACATTGACCCAAACACTTTAGAAAGATATTTAGCAGACATTGCATGTCGTCGATTGTACGGGAAACACACATATGATGTACTCGCGGAAGCAATTGAAAATGTATTATCTGAATATCAAATTTTATATAAGACTTTATATTGTATAACCGATAATGCAACTAATTTTGCAAAGGCTTTTAGGTATGTTAATTTTTTTATAATAATATAAATATTTTATAAAATTTTATAATAATATAAATTTAATATAAATAGTAAAAAATTTTATTTTTTACAAGATATATTGTAATTTTATTATCTATTTTATAATATATTTTAGAAATTTTGAACAAAATGAGACAGAGAAATCTGAAATGACAGAAATGTCAGAAATTAACAAAAATAAGGAAATATTCAACATGATTGAAATAAATCCGTTTTTAACTGATGATACAGATTTATATAATTTACCTCCTCAACATAGATGTGTTGCTCATACAGCAAATTTAATTAGTACTATTGATACGAAAAACGCTGAAAATGATGTTACATATAAGATGAGCAGAAGAGTATTTTCTAAAAATCAAGCATTATTTAATAAACAGAATCAGTCATCTTATGCTGCAGACCTCGTTTATAAAACTCTTGGAAAATATTTGAAAGTTCCTAACGTCACAAGGTAAATTGTTAAACATTGTAAAATTATTGTATCTGCATTTATAATTATTTGTAAAGAAATAGAACGTTCTTTGATGCATTAATGTAGAGCTGTAAGCTATAAAAATTTATTATTTTTTAAATAATAAATATAATATATTTTTATTTAAAAAATGATTTGTTTGTACAAAAATTATTTAATATTTTATATAAATTATTAATGTTTTTAATTTTATACAAATTATTAATGTTTTTAATTATCAATATTAGACATAATTTTTATATTAATTTAGGTGGAATTCATTTTTTGAAGCTAATTTTAAGATATCTAAAAATATTGAGAAAGTTAATAATATTGCTAATTCCTTAAAACTTTCTACTTTTACTCCTACTGAAATTGAATTCCTTAAAGAATACTGTTTAGTAAAACTTTTGTTTAAAATTTTCCTTTTTTTAAAATTATTTTTTTAATTATTCTTTTAAAACATTGATTTATGATATTTATATATCTTCTTAATTTTCTTTAAAAAATTGGGTAATGGAGCCTGTTGCAAAAGGATTAGATATTTTGCAAGATGATAAACATGTTCACATGGGATATTTGTTACCAACTATTCTGTCAATAGAAGAACATTTAAAAGAAAAATTATACACCGCGAACTATAAAATCGCAAAATCTTTAATAAATACTATTATAACAAATATTCGGAAAAAGTAATTAAAAATTTATTAAATATCTAATAATATTCCCATTTAATGATTCTATTCTTTATTATTTTTTTTTATTTTTATAAATATGCTTTTTTTTAATTTTCTTTTATTATTTAATATTATCACACTCATTATAACGGCTTTTTATTTTATTTTTATAAATAACTAAAGGTTATAAAAGCAAATTAAAGAAAATAATTTATTTATAATGTAAAATAATTAAAATAAATACAAATAATTAATAATAAGTACAACTAATTAACAAAAAAACAAATAGTTAAAAATTTAAATCTGTGAACAAAAATAATATCAAAAATTTTCAGATTTCATTATATTTATGATAATATGGATCTTAAGATCTCTGTATTATGGATACCAAGATTCAAGTTAGACTGGGTGCAAAAAAACGATGAACAACAGAAGATCATTGAACATTTTAAATTATGTCTTCAATCTTTCTGCGATAACACATTAATTATAATGACCAATCTGAAGACACAAACATTGATACAAATATGTGTGACGACAATTTTTATGTATTTAAAAGAAAGAAGACAAGCATTACAATCAAGCAACATATCCGATAATTATAAGTTATCTTTATAGTAATAAATATAATGATATAAAATATTATCTACCTATATTAAAACATGCGTTTATAAAGTATAATACATCAGTATCGTCTTCAGCACATGTAGAGCAATTGTTTAGTGCAGGTGGCTTACTATTTGACGATTTACGAGGAAAATTAACCGATCGTCATTTTGAAATGACACTCTTGTTAAAATTTAATCATTTTCTTAATGTAATATACTACAATGTACATAATTTTGCACTATCGATATTTCATAATTAGTTTTTTAATTATTTAGATATTTTATAATAATACTAGATAGTTCATAAATGATTTTTTATGAATTGTTTTTTTTATTTGTTTGTTTTATATATTTTTATATATGTATAATTATTAAAGAGATGAAAGACCAAAGAACAAAGTGCAGAAAAGTACAAAGTACAAGAGAGTACAAGATTACATTTTTTGTAAAAAATTTTTTTTTTAATCATTTATTATATAATATCTGAAACATGTAATATGTAAAACAGAATATGTAAAATTAAAAAAAAAAATACATTCTTGTATAAAAAACAATTTGTTTGTTATTTTATATAAATGTAATTTAGATATAAAATATTAAATTTATTTGATGATTCATATTATTATTATTTAGAGTAATCTAATTTTAAAAATTACACTCTTATTTAATATAAAGTGAAATAATGCTTTACAAAATTTTAACTTTTATCTCAACTAACGTTAATTTAATCTTAACGTAACTTTTATTGAGTTAATTTTTTATTTGTATAACTTTTAACATAACTAAATTAATTTTTTAATCCATTAACTTTAACTTAATTTAGTTTAAAAAAAATATAAACTTATCCAACACTGACTGTATGATTGGAACAACTATAGAAAATTGATACTGCTTGCACTTCATGTAACTTTCGAAATTATATAATAGAACGTTGTTTTTATGTGAATTAGGTGTGACACAAATGAAAATAACTAGCATACGAGTGTGGAGTGGTTGGAATATACATATGCAGCTATCTAGGAATCACTTGAAAAAGTTCTAAGAAATATGAGATATGAGTGTCTCAACCATGCTTATATATTCTAAGTAGTAAAAAATATTTGAAAAATGTATACATATGCAGCTATCTAGGAATCACTTGAAAAAGTTCTAAGAAATATGAGATATGAGTGTCTCAACCATGCTTATATATTCTAAGTAGTAAAAAATATTTGAAAAATGTTTGAAAATAATTTTCAAAGATATTTTAAAAATGTTAACATAATTGGCTAAGTCCTTTTTTTATTCATTAAAAAAATATTTACTTCATTCATGCAAAATAAATACTTATTTAACGTTTATTAAATTTTTATTTTATTAATATTTTATTAATAAAATAAAAATTAACTATTAATAAAATAAATATTTAATAAGTGTTAAATAAATATTTATTTTACATGCAACATTAAAATAAACGTATTTTTAACGAATAAAAAAAGATTGACTTAATCAATTATTTTAGTATTTCTAAAATAACTTTGAAAATGATTTTTAAACATTTTTCAAATTCATTTTCTTTTGTCATTTGGGATACTTTAAGCATGATTGACGCACTCATATATCATATTTCTTAGAACTTTTTAAAACGATTTCTTTCTTGGGATATATTCCTTTACTGTTCATACATGACAATAAAAATCAGAAATCAAAATTGTATTTTAACTGTTTTATTGTTCATCGTAGAAAAATCGTTAAAAAACAAACTTATTTGAGATCACATTGTCTAATACATATATAACATATTTCAAATCAGAAAATGTTTATATAAACTATTTAAATATGTATATGAAGTGAAATACTGATAGAGGTAAAATTATTACACTGAAACACAGTATCAATATAAAACATAAAATATATAGTATTATTTAAATCATACTAGCAAAGTATACTATCGTTTAAAGTCTTAAAATCATTAACTTTCTAGAAAACTTATTTAAGAAGAATAACAAGAATTGTATGAAGAATAACATTTTAATATTCTAATATTATAATATCCTTGTCCTAAGAAGAATAACATTCTTCTGCTAAACATAAGAAAAATTTTTAAAGATGTCTATGCTGAATAAAAAATTTTAAATTAGATTTTGTGTTTAACAGTCGCAAAAAGTAAACTTCCCATTTGTACGAGAATCACAGAAAAAGGAGAGATTAATTCATTTATGTTTACAAACGCAAATTGTTCAGTCCAAGATACATCATGTAAATTAACATCAAAGCCATACGTTTTTAACAATTTGCATACAAGATCTATTGCTGCTTTCTCATTTTGTAAAATATTTACAATAGAGTCAAATACTGGTACAAATTCATCTTTTTCTTTAAGTTGTAACGATGCACCCCGTGCACCTCCTTAGTTGCATCGTCTTTCCCGGCATGCGGAAGCTGCCGCCCGGCAGAACACCCGCCGGGCATAGGCAGGGGCGCGATGCGCCCACATTTTTTAAACTTAATCGTGAGGCTAATAAGCCAACTACCGCAGAGCGTTGCCGACGTGTCCCGAACCGACGACCGACGAAAACTCGCGCTCGGCGCGCACCCAGAACCACTCCGAGTGCGAAGTAATTGCACGGCCCCCGACCGTACCGCTTTCCATTAACTCGTTCGGAAGGGGTAATACCGCCGCGCGCCGACGCGGGCAAGCCGGTATAAAACGGGCACGTTCGGCATACTAATCACTTTTCCGATCCGCTCACGATAAGTGTAGCAGCTCCGAAACCTAGACCGCTCCAGAAAACTAAAACCTAGATCCGAGGAAAGGAGGTAGAGCGAACTCTTCCTCCATCAAGTACTCTCGATCCTCGATCAGGCTCGATCCATCTGAGACATATACCGACCAGGAAAAGGAATCAGAGTACACTCTGATTTCGTCGAGAGTTCTCGATCACCGGTCCACTATCCGACCACCAGACGCTAGTGCATTCTCACGAGGCAGGGAGCAGAGCCTCGGACGAGTTATTCTCGTCGGCACAGCGTTCCTAAGAAATCTCCGTACACCGGGAATTACATATACAATTACATATACAATTCAGCGTAAACGCATTCAGTATTTCACGGAAATATCGCGCGCGTTTCTAGTAAACATCGTGAAAAAGCCGGCTAGACCGATCTTCCAGACACGCGTACATAAAAACCATTCGCGCTACGTCAACCGATCATTGACCGCGCCGGATTCATAACATGCGCCGTAAACAGCTTTTAAAGCTACAAGTCATATTCGAAACTGAATTATATCTGCAATACGCGCTCTTATAAAACATTGTACGCATTCTTAGAATTGCGATACTATTATACGGCACGCTCACGCCGTGCATTCGTGCCTTAACATCTGTATATCACGCCGAGCAATTACTTCGCGTCTCGCACCGAATATCGCGCTCGAACGATTCACACACACACACACACACACACACACACACACACACACACACACACACACACACACACACACACACACACACACGCACGCACACACACACACACACACACGCACGCACGCACGCACGCACGCACGCACGCACGCACACGCACACGCACACGCACGCGCACACGCACACGCACACACTGTATTACATATAACAATAAACACTTTTTTTTAATCTCACACACGCTCTCGCTCATTTAAGCATTTACCGAACCCGGATTTCCGATTCCCGCTATCCGACGGCAAATCTCGCGGAAATCACCCGTGACAAAGTTTAATCAAAACACATAAATAAAGAGATAGATATTTATAGATAATTCCGTTTATCTTTGCCCATGATAATTGTATACACACAAATCAAGGGCCACAAAAATCAAGGGAAACAAAATGCTTAAACAACTGAAAATTAGCACACAGTGATATATGTATGATCGAGAAAATTAGGAATGAGAACATTTGTATTAGACAAGAGTCGTAAAAGGAATAAATGTGATTCTCGTTCACGAGAAGGAATTCTGATTGGATATCTGATGGAACCGAAAGGATATAGGATTTGGATTCCATCAGAAAATAAAGTTGTAGTAACTCGAGACGTGAAGTTCATCAATGAAGATATGATCAAATGAAAATTCTTAGAAGCAACAAACGAGATAAAAGAAAAATGAAGAAAAACAGAAATTTTTGACATTGACCTAGGAATAATAGACGAAAAGCTATCAAAGGAATGATCTAATTCGTCACCACCATCAATAACAGTAACTCGACATTTATCATCCGAGAACCCGTTGATCAGAGCGCCAGGTAGACCAAAGCTTGTCAGGTGAGCGCGGGCGATCGAGGAAGCTGTACAAGACGCGGACAGGAAATTTTGCGGTAAGTGATGATGAAATGGAATCAAATGTAGATGTAAATGTAGATGAGTTACAGGATGACGTATTCGAGTATGCCGGGATTGTGGAGATATCCATAGGCGATGCATTGAAGAGTGATGAGCGTGAAGAATGGAAAGATACGATATTCTCGGAGATAAAAAGTTTGGTCAAAAGCGATATGTTCAAAATCATTAAAAGGTCAAAAGTTTGGTCAAAAGCGATATGTTCAAAATCATTAAAAGGTAATGATGATAACTTGGTAGTCAATTTGTACAAACAAGCTGAGACCAGTGAAGTAAAAAAAAGGCCAACCAGGCTTGTGGCCAAAGGATACAGACAGAAATATGGCGTTGACTATCAAACCTTTGCGCCAGTCGTTAGACTACAAACAATCAGATTGTTGTGCGCGCTTGGAGTTGAGCTTGAATATACATCAGGTTGACATTGCAGCAACGTATTTAAACGGATATCTAAATGAAAAGGTGCTGATGCAAATTCCGGAGATCATAAGCGAAATGTTATTACGAATAATTCGAGAGGAGACTCAAATGGTTCTTGGCAGGAAAGCTTAACGACTGGTAGATGTATTGGAATCAGGAGGCGACGCATGTATGTTGAAAAGTGCTCTGTATGGACTCAAGCAGGCAGGAAAACAATGGCTGATTAAGTAAAAAATTACTGAACATGGGGGTTAATCAGAGTGTAACGAGACACCTGCATATTCTATAAAATAGAGGATAGTACATTTGATCGTAGTCATTTATGTTGACGACTTGTTAATAGCATCACAAGATGAGAAGACAATTTATCGATTCAAAACGGAATTAATCGCTGAATTCGAGCTAAAGGATTTCGGCATGGCTCACTATTGTCTTGGAATTGAGATAAAGTAGCTAAATGGCATCACCATGTGCCAAGCGAGTTATATCAAGGACTGCTGAAATGGTTTGAGAATTTTAATCCTGTGAACACTCCGATTGAAGTTGGATGCAAGCTAAAAGTTAGAGATATCAAGGACGATGAAGAGCAAGTAAATCCAAGTAAATTCCAAAAATTAATAAGAGCTTTATTATATCTTGCTGTAGAGACGCGCCCGGACATATCCAATATCGTGGCAAAGTTGGCACAATTCTCAAGCAAACCCGTCAGAGCACATTGGGGTGCAACTAAAAAAATATTACGCTATCTCAAGGAAACCAATTAATCTAAGTTTATGTTACAGGTCTTGCAACCCTATAGTAGGATATTCAGATGCAGAATAGGGAGAATGTAAGATCGATAGATGATCTTTCTCCGGATACATCTTTCTCCTTGGAGGCGCTGGAACTTCCTGGAAATCAAAACAGCAAATCATTGCGTTATCGTCCACAGAAGCTGAATACATGGGGATATCAGAAGCAGCAAAGGAAGCTATATACTTCACAAGAATCCTTGACGAACTTAAGCTGACCAAGCTAGCTGACATCACTTATACGTGGATAATCAAGGGGCACAATACTTAGCAAATTATCCCTCGTGTGTGTGTGTGTTACACGAAGAACGAAGCATATAGATATAAAGTACTATTATGTGCGTGAACTTGTTAGTCAAGAACGGATTAAATTAAAACATGTATCCAGTAAAGAAATGATTGCAGATATAATAACAAAAAAATTACCAGGGCCAAGACAGTCGTATCTATTATGTTTTTGTAAATAATTTACCTTTTTAAAGGTAAATAATTTACCTTTTTATTCTGTTTAATTATATCTTTGTATTATATCTTGGTATTTATTCTTGCGACATAGATTAAAATACAATAAGAAATTTAGTCTAATTGAGTGCTAGCGACAGACTGTGTGTTTCCTTTTTCTTATTCGACTCACACTGTCTGTTTTTCAAGCTTGTCTTTTTTAGCTAAAACTAATAAGAAAGAAAACTATGCGTAAACTTTAGTTAATATAATCTCTCATTATTTTGTGCATAAAAGTATTCAGGTAAGATAATCGAAAAATGAATATTTTACTAGATATTTTATGATTTATGTAAAATTAAGAAATTATTTCAAGCCTTATAACTCGAAAAATACTCAATAAATAAATACTTTATTGTAGCATTTTGGAAAGCTCTCGAGCTAAGTTACAAGAATATGTAATAAAAAATAAGAGTTTCCATTTAAGATTTTTATGTTGACTATGACCGGACTTTTCAACGTCATACATATGTAGATATCATCATTTAATATTAAATATAAAGAATTAAAGGCAAGGGAGTCAGCGCAGGTTTTTTATGCGCATGTATTATATAATAACAAATAAAAGAACACGATGTGTATGATTTGTTCTTAAACGTTTATTTAATACGCGGACATTTCGGCCCTTTTTTTGGCCATCTTCAACGCAAACAAAAGAGAAAATAAAAAAAACTCTCAAGCAGATATATAGAACGTTTATAATTAACGCGACCAATAACCAGACGGATCATGTCAATATGTCGCAAATAAAAATTACATTAAATCAGCATGTCGCAGATAAAATTAAATAAATCGCACGTCTTGTCGAGATTATTATGTCGTAGGTAGAATCCGTCCATGATTGCAAGACCAAAGAGGTGTAAAAGGTCCAAGTTGAAAGTCAAAAGATAAAACTAAAAGTCGATAAAAAGGTGATCCGCCCGAACACAAATGATACATGACAAACAAGACTTACAGATAGTCGAAGTGCAGCAGAATGTAGAATGAATAATGGCGACATTACAAATATAAAATTGTTAACTGTCGAGTTCTTAGTTATTTAAAAAACAGTCGAGTTTAAATTTGAGCTGGAAAAGTCTCACGCTGTACTAAGAATTATAAACACGGTGCTCCTCGATTCTAGTTTGAAGCCGTCTACCCATTTAGCCTACATAAGACGCATTGCAATCGTTACAGTCTATCTTATAAACGACATTCATTGACAACGCTTTAGGTAGAAGATTTTTATGATCTTATAAACATATCAATAGAAACTCTTTGAGTTCCTCAGTTATTACTGATCATAGGGTAAATTTTGATCACGATTTTAAATGGGAGGATGCCAGGATCCTAGACAGTGAATCGAAGTTTCATAAGCGTCTGATTTCGGAAATGCTTTTTATCAAACGACAAAGTAATGATTTGAATTTGCAGACTGACACGGAATGTCTACATCATAGTTATATATCGGCTTTAAGCGGGCTCCCAAACATTTGATGTCTACCTCGAGTTAACAATTTTATATTTGTAATGTCACCATTATTCATTCTACACTCTGCTACACTTCCACTATCTGTAAGTCTTGTTTGTCATGTATCATTTGTGTTCGGGCGGATCACCTTTTAATTTATCGACTTTTAGTTTTATCTTTTGACTTCCAACTTGGACCTTTTACACCTCTTTGGTCTTGCAATTATGGAGGGATCCTACCTATGACATAATGCTCTCGACAAAACGTGCGATTTATTTAATTTTATCTGCGACATGCTGATTTAATGTAATTTTTATTTGCGACATATTGACATGACCGTCTGGTTATTGGTCGCGTTAATTATAAACGTTGTCTATATATCTGCTTGAGGGTTTTTTTTATTTTCTCTTTTGTTTGCGTTGAAGATGGCCAAAAAAAGGGCCGAAATGTCCGCATATTAAATAAACATTTAAGAACAAATCATATACATCGTGTTCTTTTATTTGTTATTATATAATACATGCGCATAAAAAACCTGCACTGGTTCTCATTGCCTTCGATTGTTTAATTTAAATTTTTAGAGCTATTTAATTTTATTATTATATTTACATTTACTATCTTTGTTAAGCCTTATTCTTTTTGACACATTTTTTCAATAAATCTTCCATCTTCCAATTTCCAATCTTCTATTTTCCAAGATTTTTAACCATTGCGGAATTTTTTGCCAGCATTGTATATATTAGGTTTACCGATCTAGAAAGACTGGGATTAAGACGACATGTTCAACTCGCTATAAGCTATGCTAATATTACTCTCTTCTTATAATTGCAAGCTTCTTTATATAAGAACATGCTCCTAATCTAACAGCAAATGTTTAACAGCGCTCATGTCCATAATAAACCTTAGGACGTATATCGTGTCTGCATCTGACACATGTATACATACATTCGTGTACGTATACATAATCTAAATGATAAATATAATAAGAGCTTTTCAATTATTTTTGATGCAATAATATTATTACAATTAATTGTATGAGAATGAGAAATATGTATGTTATGCGCTCAAAATCAACTAAATTGTCTTATGGAGTAGATCCTATCTTGTTTCAAAAATATTCTATTTTAAAATATCTTTCCCTCGCGATTATAAGATAATTGTGCCATCTTTTAACAATAGATTATATTTATACATAATTTGCCATAAGTATTTCTGTTTTTTTAAATACATATCTCTTTATATAATATAAATTTTTTGCAAAAATCGCATTTATCTTAAATAAAATGAAAATTAATTCTATAAAAGTATCGCTGCTTCTTATTAAGCATTTCTCGTTTTTTACCAGCGTTTTATTACATTTGCTACGAAAGGAATTATGTAATTTAATTTCATTTAAGATCCGTACGTAACGATACTTCTGCATCGTTTAACAATTTTTCAAGAAATGTGCGTTAAACAATCTTTTATTATATTATCACGTTCGATATCTGTAAACTATTAATGCATTTGATGTAATATAATTTTATAATATAATTTTAATAATATAATTTAAAATAATTTTGATAATATAATTTTATGTACATTTACAAAGATTTAAGAATTAATAATAATTAATAATTGATAATATCTCGACGTCTAATCACAAAAAAACAGAAACGTTATTTTATCACAACATATTATTTATTAATTACTGATTAATATCTTATTTTATATATGATTTTCATATGTATTTTAATAGATGATTTCTTTTATTTTTTATGAATTTTTTATGTCTTTTGGGATAGTTTTCAGATTAGAAAAGGCGAATAAACTCGTTGAAGCTGGATTTTGTATCTCCGGTATTAATGATTGAGCAAGATCTATTCGCTTTAATTTTAGACTTATATTCTGGTGAGGTCGCATAATTCGTGATTTGTTTGCAGTTTTCATTACACCTTCCGATATTGTATAGGATACGAATTTTTCCTTTGAAATCATAATGAGACTCGCAGAAGTAGTCTAAAACAAAAGGAAAAAGAAAGATACAACATCAGTCAAATATCTATATGGCGGCAAAAGGCATTATTTGTTAAAGTGTTTTTTTTTTACCTAAATAATTCAATTATGATACATTTCCAGAAATTTTATATTTTTAAAGTAAATTTTAGAATATTATAAATAGTATTTTCTAAAAATTTGTAACAATAAATATTATAAAAAGAATTAATGACAGTTATATCTTAGTCTGTTCGCTTTATATTGAATACAGTTACATTTTATTATAATATAATTTATTTATCAATCATCGTACCATATCCATGTAAAATTCTCCATCGCCACGACTATAATCCTCATGATTTCCGAAAAAATATATTGTTTTTTGTGGACATTTTTTTAGCTGTCGCGTTTTCTTCACCCGAAACCTTTCAGCCATAAGATGCGCGAATTCATCGCTCGACAAAAATCCGATTTCGAAATTGTCATTTTTCTCAGCAGAATCAGCGTCCTCCTCAGAATCCGGATCACCGCGAGAGATTTTAACATCGACCTCACAGTGACCCATTGTCGAATTTTCCATTATAATAAACCTGTTGCGATGTTCCTGCACCTCAAACCCGATATTCAATTGACTTACTATAACTTTAATCATATCAAGCCTCCATCTGGGAATCGATCTGTAGACCACCAAATTCTCGATACCTCTTGGATTAAATCTGATTTCAAAAGGTTCCTCACCCACAAATTTGTATCTTGTGGGCACAAAGTCTTTCGCATTTGAACATCTACTGTCCTTCGGATCGGGACGTTTGATTCGCGAATTCTGGAAGTGACAGTTAAGAGTATCGTATCCCTTGGGTCGGCATTTGAGCTCAGTGGCAATTATGGAGCAGAAATTATCGTTCTCGTGAACAATATTGGCTAGGGACATATTTACAAGAACGTCATAGGTGCATTCCGGACCGTATATCATCCATTTGGACTGTTGATCGTCAACGGTGACATTTGCAGCTGATAAAAGATAATTAGCGAAAATGTAAGATCACGATTGATAAAAACGATTGCAATTATTAGGTAAATTTTGATGTGCAAATATTATTATTATTTATTATTATTCATAGATAATAATATTGAATATTGCAAGAAACAAAAAAGAAAGAATTAATTAATATTTTAAAATTTAAAAGATGATAGTGTGATTTTAAATATTTAAAAATAATTTTCTAGAGATATATATGTATACATACATACATACATACATACATACACACACACACACACACACACACACACACACACACCTAAATAGCTAAATCTACCAAGGTCATGTAATTATGTAAATTACACGCATTGCAAATTATACGCTAATATTATACCAACAGAACGACGACAACCGCGCATAATCTGTAATTTTAATTAATATTAACAGAAATGTAAGAAAAAATAAATATTTTTTGTTATGATATACTACAAAAATTTGAACAGAAATTCTAAGCATAAAAACAATAAATTTTAATATTGGTATAATATATCAACAGAAATTAAATCAAAATTGAGAATAACATGATATTACATATTACTATATCGATAAAATATTGTCAGAAATCAAGCTTATTTGCAAGTGCAGGAATGCGCAGAAATATAAACGTACACAGTCATCTCAAAAGTAAACAATAAAAACACAGCACAATCTGTTGTCATAAAATAATGACAAAATTACAGCAATACCAAGAAATGTTATATATTGTATAATGTTATATAATATTACATCGAGTTATAATTCTTTCGTGTTTACTGTTATATATATCTATCTCATATCTAAGCTTTTGTTACGGGAAAATATAAAGACTGCAAAATGTGGTTAACAAAATTATAAATGTATGATATTTATTTCTATCAGCTTAATTTTTGATGCAATTTGATACAATTTATAATAGAAAATTCAGAATATTAAACTGATTATTAAAATTTAATAATTTTAATAATTAACTGTACTCTCTCTCTCTCTCTCTCTCTCTCTCTCTCTCTCTCTCTCTCTCCCTCTCTCTCTCTCTCTCTCTCTCTCTCCCTCTCTCTCTCTCTCTGATCACATCTTATATAAAATATAATTAGGATAAACATGTTACATTACATATTACATTTATGACGAGAAAATTATTAACTGGTTACTAAATTAATAATTGAAAACTTTATTGATAATATTGTAATAGCTGTAATATTTAATTTATAATAGTCCTATTACATTTTTGTTGTGGTTTATTGTTTACAATTGATGGCATATTATTGTTTGATTTTTGCTGTTTTCCTGTTGTTTCGGATATGATAGAGCCTGCTCGATATTTGCATTTATTATCACATCTTAACAGCAAGTAGTGCTCAATTTTTATTGCATTTTTGCTTTCACACAGTGCCAGCAGCTCATGTTGATAGAAAATAAGTTATTTATAAAACGCAATGGATAAGAATTTGCTGTACAGTTATGATTTATATTTCTATTAGATCTGTTGTCACACTGCCAACATACTGGCATTTTATTATCTGGGTGTATATATATATATATATATATATATATATATATATATATATATATATACAGGGTGTCCGATTCGTGAGAGACCAAACGAAAAGTAATGATAGATTGAGTCAAATTAAGAAGAAAAGTCCTTTACCATTTTACAAAATTCGCAATAATTATTAAGTAATAAGCAAAAATGTCCCGGCGCATGAGAAGCGGTAGACCGCATCGAGCGGCAAGCGAGAAGCGACACGCGACATATGATACCGCGCCGAACAGTATTAAAAAGAATTTTTTTTCGTTTCTTTGGCGATGGGAAAATGATGCGCTATCATTTCCACACCACATTGCGATAGATAGCTTAGTGCGTTTTTTAATTTTTTTTTACACGCCATTCGATGAGAAAGTCGCTTCGTCGTTTCACAAAATATTGTCGGGATAAGACAAATTCGACCGACATTGCACGAAGAATTTTGTGCATATTTTCTATATTTATTATAGTTGTTTCACTTTTAAATTAATCCGCGAATATGAAAAATTGATGATAATACCAAAAAAAACGCACCAAGCTATCTACCGCAAGATGGTGCGGAAATGATAGCGCATCATTTTTATATCGACGAAACGAAAAGACAATACTTTTTAATACTGTTCGGCGCGGTATCATATGTCGCATGTCGCTCGTCGCTCGCCGCTCGATGCGTGCGGTCTACCGCTTCTCATGCGTCGAGACATTTCTGCTTATTACTTAATAATTATTGCGAATTTTGCAAAATGGTAAAGGACTATTTTTCTTAGTTTGACGCAATCTATCATCATATGTATGTATGCATATATACATACATGTATGCATGTATGTATATGTATGTACATTTTTGTTTATTACTTAATAATTATTGCAAATTTTGCAAAATGGTAGAAGACTATTCTTCTTAGTTTGACCCAATCTATCATCACTTTTCGTTTGGTCCCTCACGAATCGGACATCCTGTATATGTGTGTGTATATACAAAAAATATAAAATAATTGAAGATATTGACATAAATAAGTGAAATGACCACGAATAAAAATAACTCTTAAAATAAAAATATATATGTAAAAAAAGAAAAAGAAATAAATGAGTTACAAATTTAAAATATTATTTTGCCTCCATTGGAACAACAAAGCACAAATACATAGTAATTCAAGTTATAATAAATGTTAAAATGAATGTTAAGGACATACCTAGAAAAAATGGTAGAATTGTCACCAACATGACCAATATCTTTTCTTTGACTGATGCTTCTGTCTACTGTCCGTCTTCTCTTTATATGAGATGGATAACTTGATTTATGACCTGTCTCCTTGAAAATAATTTCGCAGTATCATTTCCGTCTACATATCTACAGATTTTTCTACAGATATCTTTCATATTAGTTATACGATATAGCTTGCCTTATACTTAAGACAATTCCATCATAATCATTTCATAAGTGCCAGCAAGGTTTAGATGTAACTGATAAATTTACTGTTCGTCATATCTTTATTGGAGTTCATTAACAATTTGCTCAGATATTTTCCATACATTAAAAAATATTTAATTATAATCGAGCTAATAACATATCTTATCATAGATGAATAGGTAAATTTTAGGAGTTTATTATATATATTTTAAGAATCTCTCTTCTCTTTATTATAATTGACAGTGAATATTAAAATATTCTATATAAATAAAATATAAAAAAAGAATATATTTAAGATAAACAGAATTGTTTTAATTATATTTTTTTAAAATTTTAGTATATATGAATTATGTAGTAATAATTTTGAAATTGACGATAATTACTCCTTTGCCATAATGTGTACAAAATCGAAACTTTAATCTTTTCGTGAAGATTCCTTTTTTAACATTAATATTAATAATATTTTTGATATACAATATGATTTAAAATATATAATATTAGATATCACGTTCTGTTTACGAAATGATATCTATATTTGGAAATATATAAAATATATAATGGAAATATACAAAAGATATTAAAGAATATTATTATTTTTTGGACAATTTTTGATCAAGAAATTATGCTATAAATAAAATCATAAATAAAATGATAATTATTTTAATCATAAATCATAAATATTTTTGAAAGATTAATAATGTACAATATTATAATAAAAAAAATTACATGGTCTGACTACAAAGTAATTGGATTGATTTTTTAATTTTTTGCATGAATGTCAACGTATGACACTATTTTAAAACTTTAAATTTCTTTCAATTGTAAAAATTTCATTATCATCAAATGTATGTGTCATGAAATATATCGATTGAAAGGGATAATAAAAATTTTATACCACTATGAAAATATAAATATAATGCAGTAAACAATATATATCAAGTACTATATAAAACTTGGAAAAAATGCAAACGTATGAAATGTTGAAAGAGGTTTTCTGGAATAATTATGCCCGAGAGAAAATAGGCTTATATAATTATATAATTATATAAGATATAAGAAATAGGCTTATATAATTATATAAGATCATATATAATTATTATTATAAGATCATATATATAAGTATTATATGATCATATCAAGCGATGCGGCAACGCCGCATTGAGAGTTACTATTCTCGACGCGACGCTACCAAGTAGCTTATCCGGAATTTCACGTCAAGTAAACTTTCGGTTAAGATATTTAATAAACTAAAGTCATAATAAAAAATCTAACGACACATTTATTATGTAATGTGAATATAAGCTTTCGATCGCAACCAGTTTGATTAAAATCGGTGCAGTCAATCCCGAGAAATGATGATCGCATATCAAAATTGTGACATTTTACGTTACTTTATTTTTCTCTCGGATTTTCTTCAGTCTCACGTACGTATGCTCACAACCACACAACCAAAGCGAGTTTCTCCCTCAAGGGACATTCACACCATGCATATACGACTATTGCTTCGATATGTAAAATGCTTTAAGAAACAAAATCATATATGTGCATGTGCGTGCATACGTGTGATATGTATATATATGTGTGTACGTACGTGTGAGAGATTTATTTATCGAATAACAATTTTCAAAACTATCCCTTCAGAATGGAATTTAATCTTCTATTTAATTTTCTATCTTAGAAACGTAGCTGTACAAATACGAAACTTCTGCTGTTAAATAAAATTAGAAAAGAAAAATAATTTATAGTAACAATTTTCAAACACCATCCTTTATAAAAAGCAAATTTTAAAAAATCATCCCTTGAGGATGAAAAACAATATCTGGACAATATCGCGTCGCAGAAATACTTACGTCATTAGTTAAGATTTCTTAAAAAGAATATTTTTATCATATAATAATAATTTTTAAAAATCACCCTTTGGGATTGAAATCTAATATTTCAGAAACGGTGCACCACAAAAATATAAAACCTGTACCGTTAAATAAGATTTGTAGAAAGACTAATTTACCATATAATAATAATTTTTAAAAACTATCCCTTAGGGCTGAAATCTAATATTTCAGAAATGGTGTATCACAGAAATACAAAATCTGTGCTGTTATTTATAGCTTATAAAAACACTAATTTTTTGTATAATAGCAATTTTTAAAAACTACTCCTTGGGGATAAAATTTAATATTTCGGAAACAGTGTACCACAAAAATATAAAGTACATAAAAAATATTCTACTTTGTATGCGACGGAAAGTTTAATATTTATATATTTTTTTTGCAGAAAAGATATAAATTTTTACAAAAAGATGTAATATCCTTCTAAAAATAACCTTACAAAGGTAAAAAGATACACCAAGTATATAAATATAAAGTATATAAATATAAAAGTATTCTATCTTAAAGTATTCTATAAATATAAAAGTATTCTCTAAAAGTAAAAAAATATACCAAGTATATAAATATAAATATAAAAGTATTCTATCTAATAACAAACTGTTTTATAGAAAAAGGACTTAAAACTAATTTACAGTCATTTTCCCGCAAGAAATCATTTTTTTAAAGAAATAAAACCTCAAAAAATTTCTGAGAAAATCATTAGTTTTATATTGATTTCATCTTTAGTTTTAATATTTTATTTTTCAGTGATTTTTTAGGAAAAAATCACTGAAAAATAAAATATTAAAACTAAATATAAAATCAATATAATTACTATTAGCCAAGTACTTAAGAGCAATTTGTAAATTTGTAAATTTGATATAATATTTGCTATAAAATAATATATCAATCTTACATTGTAAAGATACATAAAGTCTCCTTAAGAAATTAAAACGCATTTTATTTTTATTTAGAGAAACTTGATTTTTAAAATCAACACTAAATGAGAATTAGAATAATGTGTATAATTAAAAAAAACGTGTTACGCAAATTTTAAATCGCACAGTCTTTAAATCAAAGTAAGTTATGAAAACTTGGCGTGCTCGGAATGTTTACATTACAAGCAAATATATCCCCCAAAATGTAAAATCTTAGACATTATGTAATTAAATGTTTAATCTGTGTTTGATTACAATTTGCAGGCACGCCAAGTTTTTATAACTTACTTCGATTTAAAAACTGTGGGATTTTAAATTTGCGTAAAACATTTTTTTTTAATTATACATATTATATAAAAAATGTTTTTAGGAATTAAAAGAATCCTAATTCTCATTTAGTGTTGATTTTAAAAATCAAGTTTCTCTAAAGAAAAATAAAATACGTTTCTTAGGGAGAATTTATGTATAATATTTCTACAACGTAAGAGATATTGATATTTTATGGCAAATATTATATCAAATTTACAAATTGCTCTTAAATAATTGGCTAATAATAACTGTTGATTTAATATTTAATTTCAATATTTTATTTTTTAGTGTTTTCTTTAGAAAAATTATTTTTTAAGGTTTCATATAATAATATTCGAAATTTGGCGCGATATGTGATTTTATTTTTATATAATCACATATTCACTTAGATCTGATTATATATGAGAATATATCTGATCAAATATGATTATATAAGAATAAGATTATATCGCGCCAAACTTCGGATATTTTATATATATATATATATATATATATATATATATATAATACATATGTAATATATATATATATATATATATATATATATATATGTATAATATATATATGTAAAATATTCATTTTTCGATTATCTTACCTCAATACTTTTATGTACAAAATAATGAGAGGAATTAATTGGTGTAAAGAAAACATATAATTGTTTCGAAGAAAAAAATATGTAATTTCTAATTAACAATTACATATTTTTTCTTAAAAATAAATTAAAAACCATTTAAAAACATCAACTTGACCTTTATATAACTTTGAATACTTCATCCTAGGTCAAATTCTTATTATCATTAGGTACATTTTATTTAGTCCTACAACTTTGTTCCTTACATATTTTTCATTATAGTTGATTGTTTTCGAGATATTTTAGCGGGACTTTTTATATATGATATATGATATATGATAATTTTGTGCCAATCCTGCTAGGTTTCTGCTAATGTCCTGCTATCAAATTATGCCAGTAAATTTTATATCATTTCTGCTAACATTTTGTTATCATTATCTGATATAACAGGTTTGAATGATATTAAATTGCATTGCGCATATATTGCTCGACTGCTCGGTTTCTGCCGACAATCTGTCAAATTATGTTTTACAGATTCTGTCGCCATTTATTGTGGACACTGATAACTATGGTTCTGATGTGCGATTCTGATCGAATCTGCTACCAATCTGCTGACATTTTACTTACTAGAATTTTGTTCAAAATTTATCCAAATATTTTTTAATTTGGATATATTCACATTATTTCATTATTTATTTTTGTTATGTTAAATTTGTCGTCGAGTTAATTCATATTTAGCGACTTAAAAATTCCTCAAGTTTAAAACATAATTGAAAATTATTGGTAGATATAAATAAAGGAGTGTAAATCCGTAGAGCTATCCGAGCACTTGTGTTAGATATAAACAGATAGACCACCCGAGCACTTGTGCTAGATGTAAATAGATAGGTCATCCGAGCAATTTTGGCCCGCATATCAATAGAATATATAAGGTGTTCCATTTTAACTTTGCTATCGAAATATCTCGTAAAGTCTAAAAGATATTATATATAATAGTGTTTTTTTACATAAGTTGTTTCATTGAAAATATAAAAATAGTTTATATTTTCGGTGAAATAACTTACATGAAACATTATTATATACATGTATATGTTATGGGCAAAGTCTGCAAGGTGTGCAAAGCCGATACTCATATAGGGTTTTACTAACGGCCCTATTCTGGACCAAAACTGGTTGCCAAGTCACCAA